GGGGGATCCACCTCAAGGAGTTGTAAACCCTGATTCCAAACCAATAGTGCACGTGGGCTACAGGATCCTGAGGAAACAAATGGTATGTGAACATATTGTTGGCCACCGGCTACCATGACACTGCATCTCCTCACGTCGCTTCACTGCTTTGTGGACTATACTTGTATATCAAAGTTTCAGGGTGTGGTCCACTAATAAAGCTACCTGCTTCGGTTTGGGCACCCGAGAAGTATCCTAGCTCTCACACAAATCTTTTGGTTTGTGTAGCTCATATATATATATTTGGTGCCTCCTTGTACCAATGTTTATGTGTTTAAATAAATAATAAGCTTCACCAAACTTCTAACATATATTAAAAATTATCTTTTTGACTTTTACATTTATACATGTCAGTTATTCAAAACATTATTCGATAAAATGTTATTCTATGAAGATTGTTTGAACGTTTCTTTTTTCTGATTTCGCTAGTTACTACCACTATTGCGCAACTTCAACTCACTTTATTTAATCCAAATTATGCTTAAACGATTATTTTTATTTCCATTATTTAGACTGTATTTTTATAATAGATTTCCACAAGGTCGATATCTCTGTGTTCATATTGATATCCGTTTAACTTTTGTTTAAAACATACCCTATTCTTTGGGTATTCAAATCCATTTTATTTTGCTGCACTACAATGAAGGTGATATTCGCATTAAGGACAATTCATTACCGTTCTATGATGGCTTATATTAGATAGAGTATGCGTGACTTTATAAAAGAACTACTAGTTGTATATATAGGCGATTTGTATCTGTTCAGAAAGTATGCACTTATCTGGTTCAAAATTATTTCAGACTATTCTATAGATGTTCATATCCGATAAATTTACTTATTTAGCTTAATCGTAATTTGAAATTGTTTATTAGTTTACTGATACAGTTTTTTGCATCCTAACTTCAATAGTAAAGACGTAAAAGTGTAGAAAAATGTGTGTTTGTTTCTCAAATATTTTTTTATTCATAACCTTAATATATTTTCTTAATTCTCCTCAGCAGTTCACTATTTGAAATTAATGTTCATCGTGAACTGAGAATACACAGTGTTATTTAATATAAGGGAATAATAAATGGGTTTTTTCTTGCTAGGAAAGTCTGTGACTTCGCAACAAGCATCAATCCAGAACCTTCAGGTTACCTAGCCGATTTGGTATTTATAAGCTACTTGGTCGCAATTCATCGTTTTGTGTTATTCAAATTCAGTCAGTTAATGTTACGCCATATATCAATTTTTTTGGTTTCAACAGTTTTGCATTTGATAAGAATCATTCCGAAAATTCTATGGTTATGTAGATCATTTGATGCTGGCTTAGCGGTTTCAAGGTTAAGCGATAGCCATGACACGTGAAGCTGTTTTGTACTAGGACATCTAGTAAATCTTGGTATTCCATGGTTGTTTAACTTGGGTCAGTTGGTTATTTCAATAGAAAATCTTCAAAAATTCTAAGATCAATTTTTTTTCTCACAAATTTCTTTCATTGGTGTGTTAACATTTATACATCGTAAAATGTTGACGATTTACCGATCGATATTTTATTTATTTACCCTTCTTTGCTCCTTTCTGTCTTTCTTCTTTTATTCTCTATCTATTTTACACGACAATTGTGAAAGTTGGTTAAATTTTTTCTACAAATATATAATATTTGAAGAATTTCTGTTTCAAAACAAGTTAGTTTCTATCTTTATTCGATTAATAATGTACCAAAATATTGTTTATTTTTCTCCTTGTTTTATGGTGATAACCTGTTGTTAAATTGGATTGTTGAAGGGAACATGCAAGAGTAGCAGGGAATAACAGATCAAGTGTTTATATTACTTCAATTAAGTGATATACGCAATTAAGTGGGTTTAAATATTTATTTTTCATCTCGTTTTTTGTCTCTATTGAACTATTGATTTACTGATTAAATCAATTTAAGTTTTCATAGAAGTAAAATACTAGTTTAATCGTTAAATGAAAAAAGTGATATGTATAAAACAGATCAAACTTTAATGTATCTGAATTTAAGATACACCTTTTGGTATATGTGTTTCTGATATTTTCTAACTGCAAAGACTGAAATAAGTGGGACAAGTTTTAAACGAATAGTTATGGTGATTGAGTGACAAGTGCTTTAGTGTCTAAATGATTACTTCATATGTTATTCATCAAGAACACTATACTATTGATTTGTTCTAAGACATCTTGTAAGACCACCTAATGTTGCCATTTTTTGATTTAATATTTAGTGGTATTTATAGTTCCTCAATATTCTGATTTGATTGTTATTTCACGTTATGAGTTTTTCTTCTTTATTACCCCTGATGCCTAATTGCTATGAGTTACCACAAACTAATGATTAAAAAATCGAAGACGAATGATTAAATAGAATTGATTAAGTTACTACCGTCTTCTGTTATTTTTAACATTAATACACTTTCAAAAACAAAATTTGAGTGAAGAAAAACTATTCTTTTTAATTAGCTATTCATCATGAATTCACGATAGTTGTATGAACTAGTTTGTTGTCAGGTTTTTAATGTAAATTTTCGATCCCGGCTCAGTAGTCTAAAGTTTAGGCATTTTAACGTGAGACCAAATGTTCTGGATCCGATTACCGGATATAGGGTCGTCGATGCATACTGTTGTTGACGTCTATACTTGGATGTAACGTTCATCCAGTACTTCAGGTTTTCAATGATGCCCTGGTTTGTGATTTAAAATATTTTAAATAATAGTCTGAGACTGATAGGTCCTGGGTTCGGATCTCGCGGGGGCGGGATCGTGGATGCGCGCTGATGAGGAGTCATACTGGGACGAAACGGCCGTCCAGTGCTACCAGGTTTTCCATGGTGGTCTAGCTTCAAATGACTCATGATTTCAACTATTGAAATTACTAAAATCTCCACAAATCCCCTTCTGAAAATAATAGTCATTTAATAAGTAGGTGATTAAAAGAAGTCGCATATTCGACTTTTACTAAATTCATAACAATTTTTTTCCTATATTGGGTATACGTTATTTTTGTCCGGCTGTATCTTTTAAAATAAACAGACTGAATATACCACCTTCTCTTGTAGAAAAGTTCTATTTCAGTGTTTTCAATTGTAGTTTCTACTTAGTTGAATTGGTGCAATTCAATGCAATTACATTTGTAAAACCTATAAATATAGTCGAATTGACATTTAATAGACAATTGCACACTTTACAAGTAACAACCGCTGTGAGATGTTTCTCAAGCTACCATGAGTAGACAAAAATGTTGCTGTTTGATCTTGTTTTTTCTAAGAAAATGTTTTTCGACTGCCTTTTCTGTTTATTATGTTTGTTATTATACACACTATATCTATGAAAAATTACTCTGTGTACGTGTTCCAAATGATAAATAGTTTTAAACCTAACTTTTTACTGTCTTGATACTTAATTTTCCATGCTTCACGAATATATATATACTCTTTGAAGTCAGAAAGTTTTTAAAATGAGAAATAGTTTGGTGACCATTTGCGAATCTTAAAACACGTTGGTTATCAATTCCATTAATCGATGTCACTTATGTACAAACTGTAATATTAATGGAAGTTAGCATAATTATAAATAATTGCATAGTAGTTAGTATAATTTACATTTGTATGATTCCGAATAGCTGTTGTCGATTAAATGTAAGATACCTTTTAGTATGTTTTTACTTTTGAAAAAATACACATTAACCACTATTTCTCCTGATTGTATCCAACATCTATACACTTTCTATTAAATATCACGAAGCCCACGAATAATTAATTCCTGTCGTAGAAAAAAAAGTTGGGTAATCAATTATATTTAGCTAAAATACGATGCCTGACCGTTTTTTAGTTTATTGTCACCATTGTCAGATCAATTCCTTTATCTGTAATGAAACATATATTCGTGGATGCCTTCTTTTTTATTGTAAACTAATGGAAAAATTTCTGACTTCCCCAAGTTGCACATTGCAGCCATAAGAAAATATTTTCTGTAGTCAGTATAGTTGGCAGAACTTATTATTATCATTAGGTTTTCTTTCAAAAAATTTTTTATGCCGTGTATTTTAATTTTTCTTGTCTGTCTTTATTTTCATATCCGGGAAATCAAATTACTTTATTTCGGAGCCATCATTTTTGTTTCAATGTTTTTTTCTTCTCCCATAAATCTTAACATTATTTTCATGAAGTATTGTTCGAATTTGTTTTTCCATGTAAAAACACTTGGAATTTTATCTTCTGTTTAGTTTTTAATTAACCTAAATTCAAAATGTCCACTTGAAATATAGATGATCATGAAAATACTAATATACTAAAATACAGTGATTGTTTATAAGCCATTACAATACACACACTTGTTACATAATCTACTTTTTATAAGTGCCGTAAGTATCCTGATCATAAAAAAAATAAAATAATTTCATATTTAATTTTGCTTATGGTATGCTTTCATCAGTTTATAGGGAACTATTTGCTACGATTTATATTTATATTATCCATGTGTAATTCCAAATGTTCTCTCTGATATTTTTGACGATACAGACAAACAAGTTAATAATATAAACATAATCAGACTGCTTGATCAGTGTACAAATTTTTAATAAATTATTTTATATTGTTCTGTGTACCATAAACATTTTTATTGTATCACATAGAAGTTTAACATTAATAGTGAATATTTTTGGTTGCCTGTTATAGTGAAAGAGAAAGTCGATGGGAAACACGGTGATATCGATAGCTAATTAATGGATAATCTAAATAGTGTTTGTTTTAGACTAAGAATTTCGACTAAATATTACATAGATATATTTTTATGATGTAACCATTGCTTAAAAAAAATAAACGTCTTCAGTTCATGTTATATTTTGTCTTATATTAACTATTGATAGTCAACTAACATGATTGATTAACCGAACTATGACTTATTACGTAACATGAAAAAAATTCAGACGTGAAAATTAACGAAATATTTCGACTTACAAATTAAGTAATTCTGTATACTTTTGTGACATAGTTAATAAACTGTCATAAGTGTTTCCATTGATTGTTGCTGTTGTCAAAGATTCTGCTGGCAACTGATTGTTCATTATTTAATTTTTTTTCACTTCTGTATCTTTCTATACTAGTGTTATCGTTTTTTTCCTTGATGAAGGATATGTTCTAATATATCACTAACTATATATGTATATATATATATAAATATTATGTTTATACATGTCTCAATTGAATCCCATCTTGGATACTTTATAAGATAATGTTTATGTATTAAATGTGGTAAATCTGTGTAGTATTCTATTTATCAATATTTCCTGATTTCACTCATGTAATTATTTTTTTTTTTCATATTTTAAATAGAAAACTGTTATGACTTCCAATTGCTTATTTATTTTCCCATAAATACGTGTGGTGTGTTTAAATACATTTTATTAAAAAAAATTCTTAATTTAGAAAACAGACATGCAGATTATTCCCCTCTTGTCCAACAGAATTTAAGTATTGTGTGCGGTCGTGTAGTTTTGCTTGTATAATTATACACTGACACATGTATTGATCACGTGTAACTCACCATGGTTTTATATAATTCAAGGATGGTAATAATTTTTTCGAGTCGAGAACTCAATATGTTGATTTCTTTTTTTTCTTTTATGGCAATACTATTTTTTTTCTCTCAACCATATTCATTCACATCCCTTCTGGGACAGGTATCAACATACACACGCACTGTTACAATTGCTAATAACAGTTATCTAAACTATTTACTTATACAGTTTTCATATACTTCATTCTACATTAATAACTAACATGAGATAAGTGATTTTCGTCGTATAACATACTTAATCTTTTCACAATTCTTTTTTTTATCTTCGAGTCTATTTCCTCTCTTATCACTTTTCTTTCAAATCTGTTGATGTTTTTTTCCTGTAGTGCTGTTCTTTTGATGACTTGATAAGGAAAGAAAATGAAATCGACTTGCTTTAAGAAATAATTATTAATGGATTATATATATCTTTGCATATTTCACGGGTTTTTTATGATTTGTTCTTACTAAACATAATGCCTAGTTGCGAAATTCTATCTCATTAGGATTTCCTGTTTATAAATTTTTCGATAAATATTATATCTTATCGCATTATATTCAACTTGATATCTTTAAATCTAATGTATCTTTCATTATTTCCTTTTTTACTTTGCTCTATAATAATTATTATATATTCTCCATCATATTTAAATCTGTAGGACGAAAACCTTGACAGAGATTATTTAACAAAATTTTTTATAAAAATATAAGATAATCCAACTGAAAAATCAATTTATTTAAGCTTTAAGCCGGAGTTGTTTTGAATATATGTTAACGATCTATCTATCAACAAGATCCAGTTGAGTTATCATATGGTTAAATCGGACTGCTGAGAAGTCCCAAATTACAACAACAGTTGATCAGTGATCTCTGGTTTGAAGTTGATTTCTAGTGGACTTCAGTTTATTCATGAATGGTCTTTAAATCACAAATAATGTACATTAAATTGTTGTAGTTATTTATGCATAGAAACTGATTACATTTTTGAATATTGGTAATCTATGCAGTTACGCGCGCTATCTTGAAAGTTCGGAGATTTTCTCTTGAGGAGGTCTTGTTTATGCGGATGTGAATAAGTGCGAATAATCAAAGCCTTTTTTTTATAAAATAGAATATTTTATCTTTATTCTACGGTCTCTTCTTATTCCTAAAATATAAGTTGATTAACAAATTGACGAGTGAGATTCGCATCCTAGATATGTATATAACGAGAAAAGTCCATCAAAATGAATAGTAACACATCACTACGAAAACACTTGAGTAATTGATTGTAACTGTGTATATGAGAGGATTTCTTTGCTGTAGTTTTAACGATATATTTTTCAATCTTATTTATTCTATCTACATGAGTAAATGATAGTTGTCTTTAAATAAAAACTCATCCACTTTTTGTGTATTATTCCGAACACACTATTGAAAACTAACTAACGTAATGTATATCCATAAATTTATGTATAATCTTCTTCCAAGTGGTGTATTTGATAATTTAGACTGATATAAATATATGCCAGATGGTATTTCACCTATGAATGATTGAAGTAAATTCTAGTTGAAATAGATTCTATTTTAAGGGAGGGCAATGAGAATTTTTTCAATGATTGAATTCCCTTTCAATATTTCAGAAAAGTTTGATCAATGTTCCAATGGTAGAACTAAAAGTTACTTAATTGTAAACCAATATATAAACTCTTGTATTTGAATAGTATATATCTACTGTAATTTAAGCATTTCTTTATTTTTTACATAAATTAACTTGTTTTCTTTTCAGGTGTTTATTTCAGCTATTATTGGTGTTATCCATTTAGTCAGATAAATTAATTACTGTTGGGTTACTTGTTGTTTCTTTCTTGATTTTTATGTTTATGTATAGATTCTCTCTGTTCCTGTGTTACTTTAAGAATCCTTTTTTGTTTTTAGACTATCTATCCACTAAAAATTAAATTATATTTCAGTTTAAATTTCAATCGAATAGGTTATTAGGTTTAATAAAAAAATGAATCTACTTTATAAGCTGTCCTATAGCTTAACTGATTTCAGTACATAACACCGGTTGTTAGTTAAGCCTTTCGAAGATATATCATTAACTTCCCTGCCTCACCTTCAGTTTCATTCATAGATATACTTGTGGCAGCATGTATGTAGAAAGGATGAAGGAAAGGAGTTCTACTAGTTTTTCTGAACCTATGTCTAAATGGCACTAATGTCTTCGCAAATCCACTCGCGAGTCACTTGGTGGATAGTGGGTAGTATTCAAAAGATTTACGAGATAATAAAAAATATCGTACACCGTTTTGTGGAAGCGATGGCTATCAAACACTTCCGACTTTACTTCTGTTTGCAAGAAGACAACGCGATTAGGCTTTTCTCTACTGTGATAACTATGAGTGTAGTCAAACAATCTCTTTGTAATCCTTTAATCTGTTATAAAATCTTACTGATGCTCACATATTAATTTAATTTGGGTTTTAAGTCTATATTCTTTTCTTAAATTTGATTAATTCAAACTATCTTATCATTCCTCTATACCATATCATTACCATGAATATTGTTGTGTAGATGTTGTTTCGTGATCTCTAGTCTCTATTCATTTCTCTCTTCAATGTATGACTAATAATAATCACCTTTATTTCATCTCTCTAATTGTAATTATACTAATCTTTTTAGAGCAGGGTGTTCTACAGTTTATCACTACATCTAATTAGCAAATTAAAAAGTGATTTTTGATGAACAGTTAGAACTGCTTTTACTTATCATACAAATAGTGTATTTTGATTTTCAGTCAGTTTTAAGGCCATGTTGCCATAACCACTTGATATTTAATTTGCTCACAATCTGTTAAAAATTCAGTCGATCAATATGCATCTCTCTAGTTTCTTTTCTAAATAAGTACTTTTCAGTTCCTTCTTATTTATCTATGAAGTGAGATGTTTTGGCCGATAACCTACATCGATCATAACGAATATGTTTAAATTTGATAAGTTATGAAAAATTACTTGATACTGGTCATTTGTTAAGCCTCTGATTTATTGTGACCTGAATTGCAGTAAATAAGTTTCCATAATGGAGAATAAAGAGAGACATTTTTAGTGTCTTGATAAATTTTTAGTCTAAAAATCCATGGATGATTTACAAATACTTCTAATATTCAATCATTGAAGTTTATCTCAATGAATATGTTTTCCACTTGAGGAAGAAGTGCTTGAATTGACTCTACAAAGTCACAATGTAGAGTGATAATTTTGCTATTCAGAAATTCGCCTTCCAAATATGTAGGTCACACATCCAGTTACTTCTGTTAAGAGATTTGAGCAGTTCTACTTTTTCAAACAGAAAACAATTTGACTTGAAACAATATTAACGCAAATGTGTACTTGATCATCAATTCGCATTAGTTTCTCCCATTACATCCTGTTTAAAATCACCTCTTCTCCATACTGACCAACTAAATTAATGTCAAACGTTTATTTTGTATTGTGGTGTCGATTACTATGTTAAGCCCACATAACTTTTTCTAGCTTCCAAACAAGCCAGTTTATTCATTCTTTTTGAGTCACATTTTGACCTTGTCAATTATTCGCTTATCAACTTTGACTGTTGTTATATGTGCGTATGTGTGTTCATTTCTTATCCTACTCATTATGTCTGTAACTTATTTTTGTTCGACCATAAATATATGGATTCACGCTTGATTAAATGGAGTTGGCTCACTCGCCTTCTCCACCGCGCGTCATTTCATTTTTCTTTCTTCACTCATTTGTCTGGATCAACGATTGTATGAAATATACGTATCCGAAATTCATTCTCGTATTTGACTTATTTAATTCCGTTATTCACTAACGCAAGTCGATAATCATATACGAGGATTGACGATATACGCATTTCAATAATAATGATTCGTATAATCTACCTGGATTCAGATACAGGGCCACAAAAGTACGATGCACATTTTGTGAATAGCGTTTTAGGATTTGTTTGAATTCCGTAAAGCGCAAGTGTAAAAAAAAAATGCTAATTTCATTTTTATCATAAAATGTTTTCATGTTATTAATTAGTATTTATACTTTTAATGAGATTTAGAGAATAGCTACTTAATTTTTCTTGTATTTAGTATAATTGTAATTGTTTCAGTGGACGCTTTTTATATCAAATAATTAATTGTAATTTATAGACATCTGATTATAAAATTAATTATGATTAATGTCTGTTACAAATTCGGGACAAATAATCTGATTATAAGGTAGAAACTAAACAGAACACGAGATACTTATTAATACACTCTTCTGTGCATATATTACACTAATCCTTCGCGGTAAATACTGTTTGGCACCAATGAAAATAAAATAGTCATTTAATTGTCTTTTTGGTATATTTTTGATAGAAAAGCTTTTCATGCGCATTAATTATATTCTGGTAAATAATAGAAATTGAATATGTGTCTTCACTATTTTTTTTTCTAATTACCTAAATCAAAAGCATTATTTTATTTTTATTGATAATTTCTGCGTGTCTCTTGTGAACTTTTTGCTGGGATTAGCGTGTACTTACTTTTTAATGTTTGTTGTTTTTCGCTGGAGAAATTGTGGTTTAGTTCAGCAAGCTTTTTCAAAGACTGATTTTTGTCTGTTTTTAGTGTACTAACTGTTACAAATCTTTTTGTTTTTAAAGAAAAATTACAAACGACTCTTCTCTGTTCAAGTGTTCTCTTTATTTTACTGCAGTAACCTGATAGCCGATTTAAAAGTTCTTGGTTCTAATTTGAAGTGTTTTCGATTCATATTATTTACTGTATTGTTTCAAATGAGATATAT